GGGACAAGTTACAAGAACTTATTTTTCATCAAAAACTTTTCCAACAGCTGCGAACATGCTATGGATGGTACCCACTAATGCAATAGTTCCTTAAAATAATGCTTGTAACGCTAAAAGTATTTTTATTTTCAGAACTATGACTGCGATTTGGAGAAACAAGCTGCTTCGCTACTTTCGTGTCATACAAAAACCCGAAAAGGATTCTCTGACGTAAACATAAACTATGGTTATGTTACAGCTAGACGAACCTATGGTGTAGCGGATGCGCTATTTGTAGTAAGCGAAGAGTGGAATTCATTATATCCATCAAATTTCCTGGTCCTACCTAAAGAGCTGTTTTTAAGGCTGCGATTGGATGGTGGGGTACACATAAGTATAATCACCAACTTAAAGGAGTAACGCCTCAAAAGGGTGACTACCCAATTCTGCCGTTCCTCATGGTCTGTTTTCATTTATTTATTTCAGAGACAAATTACGAAGAACCAAAATCCAGTTGTAGTTTCAAACAATCAAAACCAACTGCCACAGAATAACAACCGAATAAGAACCATTAACTAGATTCGATGCCGAATCCAAGCGTCATATGGTCAGCAAGAATCCAAAATTTCTTTTCAGAAAGTAAGAACTTGAAAATTTTATCGCGCTATATTTCTAAATGAGACTTTCATTGATTCATGATCAAGCTCTTGGGCTCAACCACAGAAACAGATGTTGCTGCATGACGCTCTCGTAATGGCCTTGTAGCAAGTACCCGTAATAATAGGTGACGTTGTGTGGCACACTTCAAGCAACACCCCCAGATCAAATTGTTGGGGTCACAGCAGTCGATAATGGATCTGTGGAGTCAAGTTGACACAAAATAAAAAAAACCGCCGCTAAAGCCATTAACAAATATCCCCCTCTTCCCCTCTAGAATGAAGGAGGGGCGGGGCCGGACGAGCTGTCCGAATTTGCCTTGCTCCACGGCTCCAGTGACCCGCGCATCCTTGAATTAGGCGCCACGTCGTAATCACGCCCACGGAAGGTGCGCGAGGAACCTTGTCCATAAGTTCACATTATTCGCCGTCAGATCACGCCGTCAAAGCTCTGGCGCCATTGCCGCGCGCTTTTGAGACCAACGGCACATCTGGGACTCGTAGACTACTCATCCCATCAACCGAATAAACTCTGACATGACTTCTGCTTACCATCGTCTCGACAATGATTCCCTCGCGACTTTACGTCTGGCGGGAGGCCGCCATACGGTGTACAAGCAGATACCACATCGTCAATACTCAGTTTACTTCACGGAATAAAACCGTTAGTAACTCTCTCTGTTCTCACTCTCTGTCTATATCACCATACCACTGAACCACCGCGAAGTGCTTTATCCAGGCTTAGATGAAATCCAAGTCTCAGCGCCCATTACACTGCTGGAGATATTGCTTCAACACACTTCCCCTATTTCTGATCAGACCCCTACATGAGCTGCATTCAGCGAAAGCTCCAGAGATAGAAGGAAAGCGTCATTTGTTCTCTTGTGAAAGTCCAAAAAGCAGACTCAAACTTCTGTTACAGAGAATTCGCTTAATCGAACAGAGGTTATGGAATTAATTCATTAATTCCTAACATAACATCCCATCTTGGCAATGTCATCTGAAGCCTTCGAGAGAGCTTCTCAGGGCTTCCCTGCTTGCCTTCTCTGATGACTCTGTATAGCGAAAGACACTCAACAACTACCAGATCACTTGATAGTGATTCCAACTGCGCGACTTGCCATGTTGCCTGGTGCCATCCTGTCTAGCAAAAAGGCAAACACGCAACTTGTCGTGTCAGACCAATCGCGCTTCAAGTAATATAATATCAAAACAATATCAGATAATGTATCATCATATATCATCAGTTATACTATCTTCGAAACACACCTGTATGGCTTATCAAGTGGAGGAGGCTAACGAACCAAGCTCTTGTCTTTCAACTTTTACTGACTTCGTGAGCAACTATTCAAATTCAGATGGCCAACGCACAAACGGAAACAGTCGGCTGTGCAGTAAAGCGCTGCCCTGGCGGACGGTATGGCGTGTTTTCTGTGGTGTGTGTCTACGGAAAACCGTGAGTTATAACTCTTAGACTGCTCACCAAGAAGAAATAATGGATCGTTTCAGATCCGTGGCCACAGGCAACCCTCTACAAACAAGGCACACCATGTTCTCAGTGTCCTTACGGCTATACGTGCTACAATGACGCGATTTGCATGACGGAAAATTACTACGATTATTACAGCAACTACTGACCACACAGTCAGGCATTCTTTAACTGAAAGAGTACCATTGTACTCACAGCGGAAAAAAAACTATTTCATTGTGCAATTCTTAGCATTACTCCTCTCACTATAATGAGTAAAATCGTGTGATGAAGTGAATTTGAGGTAACCCAGCAGCCTACCATAATGACTGACTTCCTACCACAGTATCAGGCGCTATCATAGACAGACTAACCTAGGAGGAGGCCAGAACAATCGGTGGAAGCTCACCGTACCAGGATTATCTATGGGCCTCGCGTGACATGGGCTTAGTTCCAATTTCAACCGCCTGCACCTCTAACAAGGTCTGGCTGTGTGGGACCAGCGGCATCGGCATTTCCATGAGTGCGTGGGCGGCCCGCTGGCGCGCACATTGTCCTATGCAGACCCGATGTTTGCTGGCAAAGTTGACACACAGACGCCGGGTTTTTTTTTCAGTAAATCCTAAGTCAAGCAATTCCTTGAAGGCAGATGGGAATTAGCTAGAGGGCAATGAAAATTCACTCGAGTCATAAAGTATATCTATTCCATTGCTTGAACAAAGCAGCTGCAAACATTTTTCTTGCACAATTGCATTCAAAAAATAAGATTTCACAGATTCTAATACAAACGCTGACGCAATGTGCCTCGGGGGGGGGGCAGTCGCCGTCGCAAGCAGCAGGAAATTCGTGAGCCAGGGGGAATGTAGCCAATTCAAGGAGTTTTCGGGTGAGGACAGTCACCGAACATGCGTGAGAGAGTTGGAATGTTACGTGAGATGAGAAGCTGGATTGTTCGAGCTTACACCACATCGCTAAGCCGCGGCGGCGACTGCTCCACCCTCCCCCCCCTCCCAACGATGCAGCATTGGCCCAATGCTTTTCATAAGGCTTCTTCATTGGAGTGAGATTAGTGTAAAGTTAATAAATAAGTATGTAGTTTAAACAGACCAGAATGAACGATACAAGAGTCTGTTGCGACTTAGGCCGCTCGGCTAAGTTTGATCTTCTGGTAACGAAGAAATCTGCTGTTTTCACCAGGATTTCCATTTTTACCTACATATCAATTTCATGACACCCAGTTTACATTTTTTCACAAGATCGAGCTCGCAACCCATCAGTCCTGTTGTCTGAATCATACAAAGAAATTTACTACAAAGTTCAAAAAATGCTACAAAGAATACTACTTATTACCACCCACACTATGAGCCTGGGTTGTGCACCTCTCATGGCCTAAATAGTTACGAAAATATAGAAGAGGAGGACAAATGAATCACAATACCGCGGCCCAGCTGACGTGCCATACGGTCCGCCGCCCGACTGGTGTGGTCCATAGGGGACCATGGCGTGCTCCATGGGATTATGAAAAATGAATGTTTTACAGCGTTCTAGATGCGTTAACCACTGCATGCTACCTTGCGAAATATCATAACCAAGATAGACAGGTTCTCTAGGGTCCCTCCATCCATTTTTTATCGCAAGGCATTCAACATCCCAGCTCCTTGAAGTAGTGCATAAAACTGACTTCTGTGCATCTAAGATGGCGTCTTCGCACAACGAGCAGAAATCGCTTACCAGGAAATGCATTCAACTTCCATGGAACTCTTGAACACCCAGATATCGATAGAGCTTCAAACGCTGATTACAAATATGAAAACTAAAACTGCAAAATGAACTGCCAAGGAAGTTGCAGCCAAAGTTGGCTAAAGTAAAGCACTGTACATGAACCGTGCTGCACCCCAGGCTTTCAGAGTCGCCGCGGAGCAGTGGTGGTGCCCTCGCTCTTCACCCTGAAGGTCATAAGCTCTCCTCCCGTTGGAGTGCAAATTCCGAGAGCACTGCCACTACTCCACGGCGACTTTGAAAGCCTGGAGGCTGGTGTAATGCTTGACTTCCAGCCAACTTCGACTGCACACAACTTCCTGGCAGGTTCATTTTGCAGTTTTAATATCCTCACTTGTCATTTGCGTTTGAAGCTCTATCGATATAGGACCCAATTCAAAGTTCCATGGGAAGTTGAGAACCTTTCCTGGTTAGTGCTTAACGACCTTCCATACATTTCCACGATTCGATTAATGAATGTGATGAACTTCATTTTTGGGAGCCTTGGGTATTCAAGTTCTAAGATGCTAAAGGACAAATTAGGCAAGAAAGCGACTACAGCATTTCTCCGCCGCAGAAAAACCCTTCAAAGTGATGTACGTCTGAAGAACGATCACGCTGAAGGCCGCAGCCCACGCTGAACTCAAGGAGGTAGAACGTAAAACCATGGTCTCGAATCTATTCGGTGAGTGAAGTGTCTCTGACCTGAGCACGATAAAAGCGCGTTGGTCACCACAGCATTTTTATGAGGAAGTCGTGTGCTCCTGTAGCAAAATCTCGAATTTCTCAAAATTCGGCAAAAGATTCTCTGAGCGGAGTCATGAAGTTAGGAGTTCACAGCGGTAGGGATCCGGGCTGTCAAGCAGGAATAAGAGACGTTAGTTCCCAGGCAATACCTAGAGCTCCGCGGGATTGCTCGTCTGCTTGTGTCGAGTCGATAACATGACGTAGACTCTATACATTTACGCTAATTCTCCATTGCTTGTCTATAGTCACCCCCATTCGACGAGTTTGTCAATACGTCCGGACAGCGACTTGTCACAACTGTGTACAGCACCCGTGGCGCAAACCCTAGGCGTTTTCGCGCTGTCAGTAGCAGTATTCAGTGTTCAGCACCCCTTTGGACAAATTTCTGGCAAAATTCCGCCCATTTTCTGACAAGAGGAGGGTCATTGTTCATCACCTGTCAATAAGCCTAGTCTGGATATGAACTATCCTTAGGGTCTTCCTGGCCCTGGTTGCTTAGGCTATTTTGAATGGAAACGTGGCAGAGTATATTTGCAGTGTTTCAGAGTACTATATAACTCTATAGCAGAGGCGGTGTGATTGGAGAGGAGAGGGGGAGGGGGGGTGGTTCGCCGTCTAGACGTCCTAGAGATGGCTTGCAAAAATTTCGAAGCTGGCCGATCGCCACGATTTTTTGGCTCCTACTACTCTTCCCTTGAGAAGTTTGTCAGGCTTTCTGGACAACTCAATTCAATGAGTAGGTTACCATTGGCAGGGGAGGAGAAAATCAAGTTGAGAGTGATGTTGTGGCTAATCTAAACGAGCTGAAATACGCTATATCAACATGTGTACCGGTGAAGAGGAGTTAGAAGATGGTCGATGGTTACATAAAGAACTAGACTGCATATGTCGTTATGCCTAAGGATTTACATCACGCTACCACCAATAGAAGCTCGGAGAGACGCTTCATATTGCGATGACCTCTAACTATCGAGGAAGTGGCCTGAACGTGCACGTCGTCGACCGTAAGGAGTTGCAATTGTAATTGTTTATTACACAGGTATAACCTGTTGGTAAAGAAAATGTATATGAAAGAAAGTAGGAATCCTCAAATAACAAATGAGTGGCAACAGAAAAAAATAGAAGCTGCAACGCAAGAGAAAGACATGAAGAATGAGGAACTAAGTTTAGAGATACTTGTCTGATGCGGTTTTGAAGTTTGGTTATGAGTGGCATGAAATACAATCTCTGCCATGATTTTGTATCGCGCTAAACGTGTTAATTTGACAACAATGCTGCACGTGAGATTTGCATAGTAAACAAAAGACGTGACTCAGATGAAATCACGTCATTTGTTTACTGTTTACTTCCTTTCGTTCTATTGCTTATAACCTACTACTAAGTAACGCTCACAAACGAAATGAGAGAGAAAACAGCAAAAAGAGCAAGTGTGTTTTCGCACAACCCCTTCTACGACTCTCTTTGAGCTAAGGCAATTATAGTGCATAAGTATTGCTAACAAGGAAAGGATGGTAGGTCGAAGTGGCCGTATAAAATGAGATGTATACCACCTGATGCGTCTCTAGACGCTGATTCCAAATCTGCCTTCCAAATCTGCTAAACGGCTCTCCGAACGGAGTTATGAAGCGTAATAGCTCAGTGGTGATGGTCCGGGGTGGCAGGTAAAAGCTCGTAGGATCGGTTCCTTTGCAAGTTTGTTGCTTTGCTTTTGTCCGCAACACTTCTAGAGACAAAAGCAAAGCAACCAATTTGCAAAGGAACCGATCCTACGAGCTTTTACCTGCCACCCGGACCATGTTCGGAGAGTAGTTATATAGATTTGGAAGCAGATTTGAATCAGCGTCTTCAGGCAGTGTACATTTCATTTTCGAACGCCACTTCGCAATATACATCGCTTGCTTTGTAAGTAATTATGCAGAATTACTGTGTGTGGCGTCATGTTATCAACGGCAATGAAAGAAATTTAGAATTTTAGAATATAATATTATCAAAAGGGGGAACAACACAGTAGTCTAGTTTCCGTCTAACGGTAAGACGGAAACTAGACAGTTGAGGTATCCTACTCTTATGCTCATCAGTAAGGGGCAAAAAAAAAGAACAAGAAAGCAGAATGTAGGACATTCCTTGGCTGTTCACATGAAAGAATGGATCCTACAGAGCTACGGAACATGAAATAAACAACTATGCCATGGGATGTTGCCATTTCGCGAAGGTACCAAAGACCAGATGCAGCCGTAGTTTCTAAGGCATCAACGATCAGGCTGGCTTGCACACAAACATTTCAATGACATGCAACGATTGGATCGAAGCAGTTACAACTGATTCGTGGTAAACGGGGGAACGATGACGCAATGCTCCGACTTCTAACGAAGCTAATGCGCAAAAATGTGATAGTGTATTCACGTGCGAAAAGGCACAGAACAACTGCAGCTTAAGAGGCTGGTGCAGAAGTCCGCATCCGTTCCGCGATGTTCGCAGGTGTGTTCCTTCTCACGCTCAAGACCGTCCAAGGGCAGCGGTCAACCGAAAGTCTTGGTGATTCAGCGTTTTGTAGTGTTCTCTAGGCACTCTCGCATATGCACACTATTACAGCGTCTCTGATTTCTTTCCTTCCT